GACTTTTACGACCTTTACAGAGGGTATGGCTTATATTTCCGTAAAAGTCCAATCACACTAATCGATATTCCTATGATCTACTGGTTTGCTGTGCCGGTGGTATTTTTCTCTACATTTAGCTATAACTGAATTTTAGAACAACTCACATACAATCAAAGGCAGTAACATTAAATTCCTATTGACAACCATACATAGCACCAAAACCATAAAAATATACCAGTAACAGCTGTGTGTTAAAATACAGGAATTTATAATACAGGTAAATAGTACAGGTTATTTACGAGACGAAAATTATTTTCATGAAACATAATTATACAGGATTGTAAATTTAAATTTAAAAGTCCTGTAATACAGGCACTGTATTACATGGTTTTTGAATAACAGGCCCCTGAGACCACTGTTTCATAAAAGTTGCTGTATTTAAACTCACAGCTGTTACTGGTATTACTTTCTCCCCCTATACCATAGTATATGGAGAAAGTATTGTTTTCGTCAAAATTTTCGAGTTTGAGTTTTGAGTGGATATAGTCGTTTTGGGTCCCCTGGACCCAAAAAAGTGGCTTTCGAAGTGATATCTGTGTGTGTGTGGGTGTGTGTGTGCGTGTGTGTGCGTGTGTGTGTGTGTGTGTGTGTCTGGATGTGTACAGAGCTAGAGATAATATAATAATAAGCTAATAGTATAGGATGAAATAAATACACTTGCCAAATTTGATCAAAATATAGTGTAAACAAGCGCTGGGATTTTAAATATACCGGTTTTCAATAATTGTAAAACAATGTTTAGCAACAAAATTGTTTGTCTTTTTAAGCTTTACATGATGGGTGCAATAAAAATTGGGAATTTCCATGTATTTTAAGTACAAATTTGAAAACCCCCATTTTTTTAAAAAAAAGCTTTAAACTTTATAACCCCGTTTCCATTACCCAATCTTGCTGATTCACGGACTTAATCACGTTTATTCCTCTTTTAAAATTCATTCCAAATTGGGGTACATAAAAATCTGACCAAAAATAATTTAGTGTTGTAGGCTAGGTAATTTTTTAAGTTTTAATATAATTCTTCCCTTAGTCTTGGCCTCCGAATAGTAACAGTATCGTCCTCTTCACTAGAACTACTAGATTAATCCATTTTGTGTTATCTTACTACGAATTTCACTTTTCAATGTATCACTACTTGCTAGAGGCCCACTTGTAAAACTTTTATGATGGTTTAGAGATTGCTAAAATATTCCCCAATTTACAGGTCCTGTATTACAGGAGTTTCTCTTTATGAGGTACTACACCGAAGATGTCCTCTATTATTTATTTGTAATACAGGAGAGTCGTTTGTAAATTATTTTTGAGGGAAAACTCTTCATGAAACTCAATTTTGTAACTTTTACTTGTAATACAGGTATGTTACCTGTATTAAGGGCCTGTAACCTTTATGAAACAGGCCCCAAAAAGCAGCAGCGCATCTAAACCGCAGCACATCTATTACGCGTCTAGGCGCCTAGGTTATGGTTTCCTAGACGCGTATAGCCTAGATGCGCTGCGGCTTTTATCCAGGTCCTATGATTAGGAACTGTATTTGGCCCTAAACGGATGTTTTAACTGTAGTATTAAAGCCAACATGTTAGTTTGAAATGTAAACAATAAATCTTAATTTACTCTCTCTTATTACCGAGTAGATGAAAATACCTTTTACAATATAACAATATATGTATTTGAAGGACAAATATGTAAACTTCTGTTATAATCAAAAGGGGATTTACAATGGCATTACAATAAAATGGGGAATGTGCTTCTAGCCTAGGCTACTGATGAGTTGACAATAATTAATATAGGCTTATTACTTTAAAATTGGTGTTCTTATATTAGGGAGTTGGTGTTGTGCTGACTTGAAGTGAACATTTGTCAAAATTAGGTTTATTTACAAATTACAACAATAAGAAAATATATTGTGTGGACAAATTAATTGTAGGGAACATGTAACAAGGGAATTAAATATTAAAATTACACATTAATGGGGAAATTAACACTACTCAACGAATGAACAATAAAAGTTTTAATTGTATGAACAACGTACTTCCATAATGCCATTAGAAGAGACAAATTCAATCAATATTTTTCGTTGTTGTTGGAGAATTTCGCCTTCTGGACCACATTTACTTCCGACTCCATTGCACAAGAAATTTCTGTTACGCAGTTGAGCTCAGATTCGACTTTGCTCTGAAAGCAGTCAGTCAAATACGCAGTTTTTTTTGCGTGCGTATTTAATGTGCGCGCAATTGAAGCAAGCTTTGGAAACCTCTTATACGAAACTCCATAAGACAAGTAGTTTGCTGCGTCTTACATGCGCATACGCCTCATTGCCTTCCATGTAGCAGCAAACCGAATTGTTAATTAAAATTAATGTTATTGTAAAAGGAAATAAATCTTACAACTTTAGGGGAATATTTTTTTATGAATCTAGGTTAAATGGAAATTCGCTTAGGTTTTCTGCAGCGGGGTTATTCTTGTTTCTTATCGTTCTTTACTTGGCGTATGAGGTTTTTGTTGGATGAGACAATGCCTTTATGCAAAAATAAAGAAAGAAAATTGGAAATCACCACCAACTGTCTAAACCAAATGCTCCTAATGGAAAAAATAGCAAGCTATGGTTAACATTACTTTTTTTAATTAAAATCTAAGGAGATGAAATGTAAACTTAAAATAATCAAACAAGTGATTAAAACTGGACACCGTCTGACCGCAACCAACTTTAAGTAATTAACCTCGGTTGTTAAGGCCCAATCAATATTAAATGATCCATCAATGCTATATAATCGACTCCTTAACCCCAATACACTTTATATATATATATATACAAACACAAACACACACAAGAAGAAATTGAACATAATGATGACAAGAAACAAACCAACTACACAGGAGTTAATAATGTTAATAATGGAATAATGAAGAACTGAAATACTTATTATTAACAACATATCAAGTAAATAAACTATGATTTATAATGTTTGTTTATAAATTAATTAACATATGTTTGAATTATTTTAAAATTAAGTTAGTAGGAAAAAAAATTATATATATTATATTATAAATATATTTTTTTTTCCTACTAACTTAATTTTTCCTACTAACCAACCTAAAGGTGAGTGAGCGTAGCGAACGAACTTCAACCAGGACGTGAATGAGCCATGCGAATACTTATGAAGTTAAACGGGGCGAAGCCCGCGGGTACAGTGGTTCTGTTCTATGATGTTCAATAGCATAAAAGTTACAAGGATTACCAACAGGGTGCAGCACTATTATTTTTTTAATTTATGACAACAGCTAATTTCTAACCAAAAGGTGAGTGAGCGTAGCGAACGAACTTCAACCTGGAGGCGAGTTAGCGTAGCGAACGAGCTAACCTGAAGGCAAGTGAGCGCAGCGAACGAGCTCCAACCTAAAGGTGAGTGAGCGTAGCGAACGAACTTCAACCAGGACGTAAATGAGCCATGCGAATACTTATGAAGTTAAACGGGGCGAAGCCCGCGGGTTCAGCTAGTTATATTATAAATATATTTTTTTTTCCTACTAACTTAATTTTAAAATAATTCAAACATATGTTAATTAATTTATAAACAAACATTATAAATCATAGTTTATTTACTTGATATGTTGTTACTAGAGGCTGAAGATGAGTTTTGATGTAAACTTGAAATATACCTCGACAATTTTTAGTAAATTGTGATTAATTTATTTTAGTGATGAGTAACCGACAACCTAACAATAATACTTATTATTCTCAGTTAATACTTTCAAATATTTACAACAAAACTACTATAATATTTACTAACAAAACTTTATTTAAATCAACTTATCAAAAACATCGGTAAACTCAGCCTATAAGAAATAATTTATAAATAAAAAACTTTTTAAAACAAAACGTTTTTAAATGCACTAAAAAGTTGAAAATAATTTATAAATATGTTGAGAGTATAAATACTTGTAAGATTTAAAACGAAAAACGTGGGGTGCATGCATTAGATAATTTACAATTACCTTTACCTATTGAACTAATGTAATATTATCAATTAATTGCATGCACCCATCGTTTTTCGTTTTAAATCTTACAAGTATTTATACTCTCAACGTATTTATAAATTATTTTCTACTTTTTAGTGCGTTTAAAAACGTTTTGTTTTAAAAAAGTTTTTTATTTATAAATTATTTTCAACTTTTTAGTCTTTAATGTGTAAATATGTTAAATATATTTTATATGGCCTGTTAATTAATAACCAAAACCTTATTATCTCTAAGCAGATGTTTTATCTTTACTTTAAAATGCTTGTTTTATATTTTTATTTTTAGAATATATCTGGAGCAGAACCTGCTCTGCTCTTCGAACTGTCAAATTTAAGTATTTACAGCTGACTTAAATTAATTGATATGTTTACATTCTTTCAAAATGTAAACATGGAAAATGTGGAAGCCCATGGGGCGTAGCCCAAAGGAAATATGAAAATTAAATGATATAATATTGCATTGTCGTCCATTTGTGAGCTATGTTTCAAGTTTCAAGTCTCTAGCTCATCGGGAAGTATCAAAATTTGCAAGAAAGCGAGTTAATAAAAACAAGCCCATGGGGCGTAGCCCAAGGCAAATATGAAAATTAAATTAAATAACATTGCATTGTCATCCATTTGTGAGCTAATGTTTCAAGTTTCAAGTCCCTAGCTCATCGGGAACTTAGTATAAAATCGATCGCAAAATTTGTACCGGACAAGAAAGCGAGCTAATAAAAACGTTTTAAAAAGAAAAAGCATTTACTTAACCAGCATGTCAAGAAAGCCCGGGAAGAATGTATAGAACCGTGAATGATAGAACAGTCGTATTTTAAGGCAAAATAATGTGGCTACATGGCCACTTGACCAAGCCAGCTTTTTTAAGTAAACAAGAATAGAAGAAGAAGAAAAAGAAGAAGAATAATTAGAAGAGAAGAGGTTTTTTTACTTTATCTTTGTTGAATGTTGAGTTTGTTGTGACTTGTGCTGTGTGCTTGTGTCTCCTCTTCTTGTGTCTTCTGTGTTATTGTTATTGTATGTTCTTGTATCTTGTGTTGTGGATGTGGTGTGATGGTGATTAGGTGATTTTTTTAATGTACTACAGGCTAACTGACTGTTCGGTTGCGGTTCGGAGTTCTCTTTAGGTTATGTATTGATTTCATGTCTAGGCCTACCTACCTCTGATCTGACTTAGTGAATTTGAAACATCCCTAATTAATTTAGGTGCTAAACTGAAACCAGCCTTTTTGATTTCAACATGAGCAATCCCTTACCAACACCACCCGAAGGGGCGCAAAACACAGTTAGCTCTCTGCCTCTTCCTCCAATGCAATATATCAATTTATATACAGATGAAAATATCAAAAGAGGAAGGGCACCAAAGCCTCCTCTCCCTATTCACGATACGTATAAAATGTTTGGTAACACATACAATGCTGACGATGCCATTATCAGACCACTGGAATCACAGGTGAGCCTAAACTGGGGCCACAATTAACTGGTTCCTAGCCTAGCTCTAGTAATGTTTGTCTTCATATTAACTTACTTTAAGGTGTAAGTTACAGTAAACTCTAGGGATAAGCATCGATAGGTCAACCATCGAAGGTAACATATGGCAACCATCGATGTACGGTACTGATAACATCGTCCTAAAACATTCATGTTTCCGGGGCTAAATAACTTAACTTACATCAATGGTTTTTTTAAGTTTTCCGTCTGCTCTCTGTACTGCAACAGCTAGGCTAATTGACCTAAAACTAAGTTAAGTTATGTTAGGCCTAATACAATTCAGTCATGGAAAACATTGAAATTTCAATAGCCTAGCCTACCTGGGCAAAAATTGAAGTTTAACAAAAAACATATTCCTGTTATCTACCTACCTACTTACCATTGATGTAAAAAAAAATCGAACATCGATATAAAAACAACGATTAACTTACCGTACGGTATAGAAAAATATAGATGTTTCGAAAACATCGACTATCGATGCTGATCCATATTCCATACCAAATTAGGTAGGGTACATGTTAATGCAACTTAGTGATTTGCTCTTGATCCAGGTGCTTCCACATTTAATTAGGGTCTTATTAGGCCTACTATCTAACGTCAATCTTTAGCCAGGTAGATTAATTGATTGCTAAATTACAAATTGCATCTGGATATGGTAACAGACCTTCAGATTTGAAGACAAGTAGTACTACATATAACCACTCAGCTACCCAGACAATTTGTTGTGGGGATTTCAAGGCTGTTAGAAGTCAAAGGGGAGAGAGAGTTAAGGTGTTACAACTTTTTTTAAATTTGGTAAACTTTTAACTAGGACAACAGTATTTAAGCTGTATTCAACCATCTTCTATATATTTAATTATACATTTTAGGGATTCAAACGTCTCTACCCTCAACATTATGACAGAAAAAGGGAACTTCGTAAGCTGAACCATTCATTGTTTGTCAACTTCCTTGATCTGCTAGATCTTCTAGTACGTTGCCCTGACTCTCCACATCGAACTGCCAAAGTGGAAGATCTGACACTTTTGTTCATCCATATTCATCATCTATTAAATGAGTTCAGACCACACCAGGCGAGGGAAACATTGAGGGTTATGCTGGAATTGCAAAAGAGGCAAAGGATTGAAACTGCTTTACGTTTTGAAAAACATCTGAACAAGGTAAATTTTGTACCGGTTATAGTCAATTCCAAAATATAATAACTTTTTATCCATTTTGCAACAAAAACATCCATATTGAGTAAATATCCTGACACAGCAAACCTATAGCTACCTAAGCGAATTTCCGGATTTGCCTGATTTGATTTTCACTTAAATCTATATTTAAGTAAAATTAAGTTTAATGTAGCTAGGCTTGCTGCTACAGGGAAGATAACAAAGTGTGTTTTTTAGCTAATTTCCCTATAGGGAAGTAGCTATTACCGTAGGTGGCATGGTAAGACCTAGGCCCGGGACCGATTTACTTTTTCATTTTGATGTCCCCAGAGGACAAAAACACAATTCGTTCAAATTTTTATATATCCTTATATATAATTCTGTAAGACCAAGTTTTTACCAGAAAATAGTGGACGTCTGGTAAGTCGCAGAAAAGTGGGAGGGGTCTTAAATTAAAGGTCTTGACCCCAGGGACTCGGGAAAAATAGCAGAATTCCCGTAAAGTTACCAGAAAACGAGATATAACGTAAAATGTTCTCCATAAGAATAGCATTAGAAGCCATTTACTGCAGATTGTTGTTTACTTCAATACAGCTGATCCGTGATTTATCATTAAGCCAGTATAGTATGCAATATTAACATTTTGATTACTTATTTGCCAGTCAATTCTGCAATGTACTAACATGAAATAACCACATTGACTAAATAATTATTAACGATTCAAGATTAAATCATAGATAAAACATACTCCCTTAGTAGATTTCTCATCCTAATGGAACAGCTGAAGACAATTTTATTGTTAGTTGTCTGTACGGTTTATGTAGAGGTCGTGTTTTGTTTACAATTTGTTTCCCGTTATTACAGCCATTTAAAACCTCGTTTAACCAAATAATACGATCTAATCATAAACAATAACTTGTCCCCTAGTTATATAACCAAACAGTAAAGCACAAATCAAGAAATTAACCCAAAAATAATGGAAACAAAGTTTCGTTGACACTAGCGCCTTTGTGTCACGTACATGAACTAGACACGAAAAACGTGCTTCAAAAATTACAATGGGATGAGAAGTCTACTTGTGTTGGTTAGTCTATGATTAAATTAACTTATGCTTTGTTTTTATTTTAAAACAGATGTTCTAGATTTATTCTACACTTTCTTTATTTTAAATTTGAGATTTATTGTAGTGTTTAATCAATGTGGAATAGCCTCAATGGCTACTCTTAGAAGATAACCTGGGAATAAAGGTGGTATAGGTTCATACAGGAAAAATATATTTGTTAATTAAGTAAGTACCGTACTATGAAAAGTTCCAATGGGAGGAAAAACAATATTGTTTGGAGATTTTAAACAGGTACTGTCAGTTGCTCACAAAAAAGTTAAGAATCAGCCGATGATAAGGCCTAATTTGATAGAATATGTAACGTCAATCGCACCTTTAAGAGGAATACCACCACATAAACTTACACTAATTGTAGTTTTTTTTTTAATGTTGATCAGAAAAATAGAGGGTTAAGTTTAGTCAATAGGATGCCTTTACTTTACACTAATGTTGTTAAACCTCAACAAAAGGAGTATAAACTTAGAAATATTAACTGGGTAGGGATGTTAATTTAGCAGGTTTGGTTCAGAACTATTAAGCTTACCTCAACACACCTGTATTTGCCTTTTCATATTTGACTAAGACAATTTACAAAATTCCAATCAGGGAAGTCTTTTTATCACCATTAACCACAAGACCAAAGCTAAACCAGACTTTATTCACAAACAATTATATGTTTGCTGCCTTTAGCAGAGTTAAACCTTTTAAGTGATTTGAATGATTTGTTGAAAATAACATCAACAAAGGCAAACAAAGACAAACAACAAACTGTTTTTTACACAAAAGATATGGTGTACAGGGACATCTATTCTGACACATAGATGTATTTCTTAGTTTGTTTAAATACTAGAATAATTTGTTTTATATTATTGAGCTTTTTAGGGACTTATGTCCCTACAAGCCACTAGTGTTTATATATATATATATGTGTGTGTGTCCGTGAACACGATAACTTTAGAGTAATTTTTGTCCGAGTTTGATTTGGTTTTAAGGTAAGTGTAAGTCGGGATAAACTTGAATGAGTTCGCGAACCAGCATGATCGGACCATGGGAAGGGGTTTTACGAGGGGTTTTATGGGGTAAAAATCGGGTTTTCTAATTTTTGATCCTTTAAACACAAAATTTCCCAATTTACCTCCAGACCTTTTCAAAGAGCTTAAAAAAAACAAATAATTTAGTATTTTAAAGTGTTTTTGTACAATTATTGGTTACGGAGAAAATTCAAAAAATTGTTATTTTAAAATTCCCATGTTATTCTTATGGAGAATATTGTAAAATGTTGTAGTTTGCTTGATTATGGATATATTTTGATCAAACTTGGTAAATTTATTTATTTTATACCAAGTTATTTAATATTTTACTAAAAAACACACTTTTTTACCCTCCCTGTAGCAGCAAGCCTAGGTACTCATAAAACCTAATGTTAATTAAATAAATTTAATTGAAAATGAAATCAATTCAGGCAAATGGAAATTCGCTTAGTCGGCAGGTTTGCTGCGGGGGGAGGGTATTGTAAAATATTAATAGCATAGTCTAGGTCTTGATGTGAAACTTCTCCAGAAAATATCAGTTTTTTGATAAACCCTGTCCTAAGGGTTATGCTCAATTAAAGGTTTGTTTTCAATCACATTAAAAATATTGAATTTAAGTCGGCTGTTAGATTCCATCCGAATTTCCCTATAGAGTTTTTTAAGTAGCTATTACCGTAGGTGACACAGTAAGATTTAGGCCCGGGACCAATTTGCTTTTTCATTTTTATGTCCCCAGAGGCCAAAAACACCAATTGTTGTATATGTATAATTGTTATTATAAATGCTGGAAATGCTGCCTATTGTCTGATTTGTTGCAGCCTTAACTGTGTGTTACTTTTTTATGGGGTTACTTGAAGGAACAAGTTTATAGCCTACTCATAGTTTCAATAATGATTTGGAACTGAAACAATCAATTGAAGAGGAACTCCTTTGAATCCCGCAGAATTTCTTTGTAAGAGCTTACGATTCATTTGTGCTCTGTTATCAGTGTGTCGCTGTGGATGAATTACAGTTTGAATAATTAATTGTGGGCTCTACTTTTAGGGTTTTCACCACATTCTAGTTTCCTGATTAAAAAGCTTTATTTCCCCAGAATGTGACGATATAACAATATTTTACAAACAAAACATTTTTAATGTTTCATTAGAAGTAGGCCTAGTCTATTCTTTTTCAATATGCCACCATTTTGTTTCTACAAGGGTTAGGGAGCTGAAATTTTCCCAGAATATTTTTAAAACCCACTTAATAATTGTGTAAAGTTATACTGTACATACATAATATAACAATTAGAACAAATACGGTAGTGGTTTTGGCCTCTGGAGACATCAAAATGAAAAAATAAATTTGTCTCGGGCCCACATCTTACTGTGCCACTTAAAATGTTTGATGTGGACAAATTCATTGAAAATGTTCACGGCCAGCTATCATTGTGGGATAAGCAAGCCGAAGAATATTCCGATAGAAGTACACAGGACAAATATTATGTGATTCACTCAATATTCTGTGGTTTGTTCTTAGTAAAAAGTAAACAACTTGCTTCCATTACACACACAAGTTTTATCTTAGACAGCATGGCTGCAAACTTCAAAAACAAACTTTAAAGTATAACAAAAGTTGTTTATGAAAAAAATTAACTAAACAGCTTGCCACGTCTACTCTCTGTTACATCACGACCAAGATTGATGTATGGGATCACTGGTGGAGGATGATGTGCACGCTCAATAACGTTCCCGTTGAAACACGTCCGTTTTTGACGGATGCGATGAAAAGGATAGTGTAGACCAAACCTTAGTGAGTTACTATCAGAGTTAAGTGGTTTATGTTGAGATTTGGATTTATTTTCCGTTTCAGCTTGTGTAATGTTATCAGGTAGTTTTTTGAGAATTGCGATAACTATCTGTACCGGCATAAGCTCAAACTTCACACTTCTATATTTGTTGAGTTTTTTAATTGTCTCTGCCATACAGTTCTACATCCTAAATGTATCTAGGCAGGTTACAGTGAGCAAACCCATCCCTGTAAGCATTTCTACAGGGTGTCACAAAAAAGTGTGATGGGCTATACAGGACCTAATTATACATGCAAAAATAAGTCAAAAATGAAGAATAAAATTTTTTGGATTTCGGCTTAGTTTAGCCGTAATCCGCCATTTTGTTTTTTGGGGAAAATATTTATTATTTCAAAATCCCTTTCAGATATTTTTACGAAACTTAGCAAAATTGTTTACACTATAGTAAGTAACATTTATAAAAAAAATTATTATTTTAACTTTCCAAATTTCAAAATGGCGGCCGTTTGAATTTTTTAATGACAAATTTCATGAAAACCGGTACCTAAATCAAAATTTTGTAAGACACAAAAGTTTTAGTATTTTTTATGACAAATCCAACAAAACAAAAATGAATAAAATCGGTTCATAAATAAAGAAGCTGTGTTTATTTTAGTAATTTAGACTGAAATTATTAATATTAAAATGTATTAAATGTAATGTAATAGTTTATGTAACGTATTAAGTAATTTCAGTCTAAATTACTAAAATAAATACAGCTTCTTTATTTATGAACCGATTTTATTCATTTTTGTTTTGTTGGATTTGTCATAAAAAATACTAAAACTTTTGTGTCTTACAAAATTTTGATTTAGGTACCGGTTTTCATGAAATTTGGCATTAAAAAATTCAAACGGCCGCCATTTTTAAATTTGGAAAGTTATAATAATATTTTTTTTTATAAATGTTACTTACTATAGTGTAAACAATTTTGCTAAGTTTCGTAAAAATATCTCAAAGGGATTTTGAAATAATAAATATTTTCCCCAAAAAACAAAATGGCGGATTACGGCTAAACTAAGCCGAAATCCAAAAAATTCTATTCTTCATTTTTGACTTATTTTTGCATGTAGAATTAGGTCCTGTATAGCCCATCACACTTTTTTGTGACACCCTGTATATGAGCCTGCCAAAATTTGACAAACATCCATACTGCCTTTATCTGCAGTTGAATACCTTTTTCAACCTAAAGATTGCACAGCTACCCCCATAACAAAGTGAGGGTAGATTAGAACAAACAACTGATATAATAACTGCTGACTGATTTGATTTGTAGGTGAAAGACATTCTGCAGCAGGCCCTGATGAGTCTACCTGACACGTCTGAGCTAGACTCTAAGCTGACAGTTCCAGTTGAGGCGATGGAGACTATGGACACAAGCAGTCAAGACGAGACTTCCAGTGACGGTTGCAACCCATTGGACAGACTTATGTGTGAAATCATTGACAAAATGTAAACCTACCATGTATTATAGTATTTGTAAATAAGAATTTTGTAACTAAAATCTTTTGTATACAGATTTTGTCTTAAAATCACTGCCTTGAACTTGAGTTATTCCCGTAAAAAGCAGCTTGGAACATAGAAGTTTGTTTAGGTATGAATGTGGTGCTTTCAGGTGGAATAACTTTTGATTAGCATTTTACAATTTTTGCTTTAAAAAAATATCTTTTCCATCACTTTTATATATGTACACTTTAAAAATTTTTGTTGCATGTATGTAGGCCTACAAACCATCAATTATTATATGGATTCTAAAATTACTACGTGAAACCGTCGAAATCGACGGTTACTTTCAAGGCTTACGCTAATTTATATAACTGCAATAAATAGAGGGAAATTATACAAATTTTGCAATGTTTAATGGGCATTGTATAAAAACAAAAATGATTGGCACTATTGTGTTAGTTTCAAAATATGTTTGATCATCCAATGAATAAAATTTTTCCCATTCGGTAGTCATCGGAGTTATTATTACTTTGTTAACTGGTTTCTCTTCTTTTGGAAGAACCTTAGTATAGAATTATTAAAATTGTATTGGTGGATCTTTTGTAGTAAACACTTCCGCGATTTCATCAGTGTTATGCAGATTAAATCTATGTTTTTATTTGAGGAAAAGTGTCTGTTTTTTTAAAAGGCAAGTTCTTACTTCAAAGGGAGGTCTACCCTTAAGCTGTGTAAGTTTTCTTTTTTTTCCTCTTTTAACCTTGCATTTGCCCGTCCACATAGACTAAGCGCCCGTGCGTCGATCGTTTACAGCAAAGCAAGGAGTGAGCCGGTACAGTACAAAAGTGAACTGCTGATAAATTTTAGTGGCATTGACCAGGATCCGAACCCACAACATCGCTGCCTTGTGTGCCTTGGGCCCGAAGTCCGCGACGCTACCAACTGAGCCACCGACTCACTAAATGGGGTTTCTATTCCTTCATCACGTCTCGGTCATCATACCGTACTTCTGTGCCAATGAATACCCCTCTAACATAGTTTTGAGAAATTGGTCGTGGGGTAACTGTTAAAGCTGGAAAGCTGGAATTCCTTCTATATGTCAGTTGTCTAAGCCTTATCGATTACATAATTTTGTCAATATAATGTCTCTTCTGAATGTTTGGTGTATTGAAATATACTTGTAGTGAAACTGGCTTTTATTCTTGAACTGTTAGAGGCCTTGTTCATATGGTCGTGCGGCTTCATTGGCAACAAATAATGGAAATGAAAAAGCAATGCTGCATTTCTAAAAAGCAAACACTGTAAATTTGATGTTTCAAAAATAGTGACGTTTACATGCATTGTTGTTAACATGTTCAGTGCGGCAGACATTCTAACAGGCGCGGCACCGTAACAGCGAACGCAATTTGCATTCAAATATTTCAATCTGACGAATAACAAAAGAGCAGCGGTGATTGTACAAGAAGAACTGTCTGGGTAAGTTACATAGTACCATATTTATTTAGGTTATTTATTTAGGTTTGATTTGATTTATTTAGGTTGCTGATCGGTGCACTTTGAGAATATTTTTTTGAGATAAATTAAATGGGTTTTGTTGCAGAGTAGCGCTATTAAACATGCACAGCCCTTTTTAGCGAATTTCCCATATAGGGAATAAGCTATTACCGTAGTACTCATGGTAAGACCTGGACCCGGGACCGATTTTTTTTTCGTTTTGAGGTCCCTAGAGGCCAAAAACACCATCCGTTCAAATTCATATATATATATATTTATATATGTGTCCGTTAGCGCGATAACTCGAGCAAAAACCATCCGATTTTGATGAAATTTGGTACAAACGTGTAAACCTACATTTATACGAACGAGTTCGCGAACCAGCATGATCGGACCATGGGAACGGGGGTTAATGGGGCCTTTTATGGGGTAAAAATGGGTTTTTCCCATTTTCGACCCAAAAAACATAAAATTTTGCAATTTCTTTCTAAACTATTTTGTAGAGCTTAAAAAAACAAATAATTTAGTATACTGAAGCGTTATAATGCGCCTAATGGTTACGGAGAAAATTCAAAAAAATTGTAAATTTAAAATTCCCATGTTATTCTTATGGAGAATAAGTAAACTGTTGTAGTTTGCTTGTTTATTAACATATTTTGCCCAAATTTGGAAAATGTTTTTATTTCTTACTAACTATTAACATTTTACATAAAAAACACTTTTACCCTCCCTGTTGCAGCAAACCTAAGTATGTTTTAAACTGATTCTATTTAAATAGGGAATAAATGTGATATTTTTAAGGAGACATTTTAGTGTAAATCCATTCAGGGAAATGGAAATTCGCTTAGTCTGCAGGTTTGCTGCGGCGGGGGTATTGTTAGTCTAATAACATTCAAAGGCTCTCTTGAGTTCAAGCTCTTTTATTTGCATACCGGTATATATATATATTTTGTTTTCACTAAGCTGAATGAAAACATCGAAGGAACCTCTCTGAAAACTCTGCAGTAAATTGCAATTTTTCATCCTTTTGACTTTCTAAATCATGCACATATTATTTCTGCATAAAAAATATTAAAATTTTGATCCAGTTGCTGTAGGTAACCACTATTATTTTAACAAAATATGGACACGGCTCATATGGGAAACGTGCCCTTCTGCACTGGTATTGTATTACACTATAGAAAATTTGTCCAATGATTGAAAACATGTATGACAATATTCTCATGAACCTATGATGATAACCTATCATATCTTGAATAATATGATAAAATAGATGTACTGTGATATTAAGATTTTCCACTTATTTCGTAATGGAACATTATATTGCAAAACATGAAATGATGCAGAAAAGAAAAAAAAGAAAATATCATTGCAAACACTTCTTTTTTACTAATTTAGTAACTCCCTATTAATGTGTGTTGTTTAAAATACAATTTAAATATTAACAACGGTATCATTAAAAAGTAGTGAAAAATTATTAATACTAGGGCCTAAAGTGACTCTTTTTGACTCGAGGCATAGCCGTCTCTAGTGTAAAGCCCCGTGGTCTTCAATGTGGCAACGCCGCAACTCATCCCCACCCTGGTCCAACTGCGGGTATTGCTGCTAGCAGCAAAACGTGCAACATTTCGCCAAAAAGCAATGAAAATGGAACCAGTTCAATAAATTCATTTTAAGCACGAAATGCCGCTTACAAAGTTTTAGATTGTATTACTAATCAGTGGCGGCGCTTCCATAAGGGCCAAGTGGGCAGGGCCTACCCAAAATAAACAGTAAAGTATATTTTAAAATACTTAATAGGTTATTTGGTTGATATTATTGAATAAACTGTGACATAAATTAATCTTGAACTTAACGGGCCATAACTTTTGTTGAAATACAATGCAATCATCTCGTAACACATTGGAGGGCCACGGATTTCGGGCCCTTCTAGCCACCATAAGAACGTAATGGACAACGCAATGCCAGCCGGCGGCGCTTGACTATCAGGGAACAATGCATTGGTATTTGCACTGGCCCACTGGACGTTGATTCTCAATATTTTGCTGGGAGTGCTGAGCGCTAGAGTAGCTTTGTTTACATCCCGCAGTGTATATTGTACACCAACCGGCAAACAGGTTGTAGTTGCAATATTTTATGAAATAATAAGTTAACACTCATGGTTAGTTTTGTAATATTAATCGTACAGATTTATTAGAGTAGCCATATTACGGTTTTAGTGATCATAAATTTAAAGGTGTAATTATGATGTTATTGTGAAGTGTGTTTGTGTTCGTGGTTCAAATGGTGTTAGGCCTATTTCAACGGTAGGCCTACTGCATCTTCAGAATTGTGAGTTATTAATAAAAATACAGTTCTTGACATGATTTAAATAGTAAAAGATAATTAATAGTAGAAAATAACGTACAATTATTTAACCAACCCAACTTCTAATCAGGTGCCTCAAATGATAAAAAACACATCTAATTTATGTAGGCCTACTAAAGTTTACAAATCTCCGGGGGAGGACCCCCAGACCCCCCTTGGCGCTGGGGGGTATTCCATACCCCACAAACCCCCTGGAAGGGCCCAACCTACTGTTCATGTGCCACTGTTACTAATTAATACATGTTTATATAAACATATATTCACCGTTTAATTCTATCCCTGAATATTAAGCACAAGCGATATACATTTGTAATAAAAAACGGAACCATTTTGGAACTTAATAAGTTTATGAAAAAGAAATAGGCTACTATTAAAAATAGGCCTAGGCTTCAGTAATTTCCCCTGACATTATTTTACATTTTATTACGAACTGGTCGTCCAGTGGTCGAAAACTTGACCAAAAATATTTAGTGTACAGACTTCTTTATTTTGAACCCACGCTATAAATAAAACATGTGATTGGAATGTCTTGCATTTGTTTTGATTTTCTGTTCATTTCACAACCCGCATGACCCATAAGGCCCATGTTAATCCTACTAATCCTACTAATATTATAAATGAGAAAGTTTGGATGTATGTTTGTGACAAGTGAACGCATTAACCACTGGACGGATTTTGCTGAAATTTGGCATGATGATAGCTCACATTCCCGATTAACATATAGGCATATTCTTATCTCAAAAATCCTTTCGGGCTCCGCCCCAGTGGCTCTATAGTTCCCCATGTTAACCTTATGAGTATTCATATTAAAAGGAAATTAAATAATTTAGTCAGCTGTTTCAACTAAAAAGTTGATTCTATGATATGCAAAAGCATTAAAAACTTACAAGGATTACCAACAGGGTGCAGCACTATTATTTTTTTTAAACCTATGACAACAGCTAATTTGCAACCAAAAGGTGAGTGAGCGTAGCGAACGAACTTCATCCTGGAAGCGAGTTAGCGTAGCGAACGAGCTAACCTGAAGGCAAGTGAGCGCAGCGAACGAGCTCCAACCTAAAGGTGAGTGAGCGTAGCGAACGAACTTCAACCATGACGTGATTGAGCCATGCGAACGAGCTCACTTATGAAGTAAAACGTGGCAAAGCCCGCGGGTACAGCTGAGTGAGCGTAGCGAACGAACTTCAACCAGGACATGATTG